AAGGGTGGGTTTATTTCTGTTCTCCCCGCTCCTGCCCCACACACATCTCTCCAGGAGCCGCGTGGATGCGGTGCGGGATGTTGGGACGCTAGGCTGTGTTGGTCTGGTGTGTGTCTGGGGCTGTGAACAGCCCCTCTCCCGTGCGTGGCGTCGGTGCCGTGACCTCCACCCTTCTTCCTCTTGCCCAGGGCTAAAGCTTGCAATATGTGTGTGTTCCCATCCGTGTCACTGTGAGGGCTGAGCCCGGCTCCAAACCTGCTCCTGCCACAAACCCGACTGTTCAGCAGCTCGTGGGGCACTTCAGGAGCTGCTCCCGAGCCTCCTAATGTTCGATCCGGATCGTGACTTGTCCAAATTTATCCTCAGAGCCGGAGCGCACCTTGCTCCTCTCTGCCTTTAAACCAGGGCTTCATCTGATCTGCTCCACAAAACTGCTGCGGTCGCTTCCCAACCACTCAAAATGGAATAAAAAATCAAAAAGCCTCGTCTGCTCAGGACGGGAAAAGCTTCTGGAAAGCAAATTCAGGATCCTCACAGCTGACTTGACAGCATGTGCCTGCTCTGGGAATCAAAGGATCCTTTGGCTGAGATTTCCAGGCAGATCCCAAAGAGATTTGGAGAATCCTTGTAGCCAGACACAGAATAGAGTCACCAAGAAAGGGTCCCAGTCTGAGCTGGTGTGTTCTGAGGGCTGCTCACCCAAATGCCGGCTATCTGAGCACGGCGTTTGGAGCCGGCAGGCTGCGGAGCAGGGCCCAGCCCAGGTGATGTGGTCATTCCAAGTTTCATTCCCACCCGAGCGTCCATCAGAGCAGCCCCTGGTGCGTTTGGAACTCGGCATTGCCCTCAGAGGAGCTGGTGCTCACTCCTCCCCTCCCCTGCCTGCAGTGAGAGCATTGTGGTGTGTCCCAGGCATCCTCTGAGCGTGTGGCACTCCTCGGGGGGCTCCCCTCGCCTGGGGGACAGCCAGAGTGCCGCAGCTCTGCCTCCCACCTGCCCCAGAGCCAGAGCTGCCCACGGCTTCTGGTGAAGCCTGGCAGCAAAGGCCTGCGCTTTTTGCTGCTGCTCAGAGCTCCGATAGTCCCAGCAAAGGGAGTTCAGATCAGGTACCGAATTCCTCACACGTTCCTCAGAGAAGTTCTCTCCAAATCGTGGAAGCGTTTGTTACGCGACATTGCAGACCAGCAACACGCACCAGGCTTCTCTGGGCTGGGGCCTCGAGTCTACCGAGTCACGATCCATTTTCACCCCGAAATCCCACCGCGTTTTTAATCCCTGCATCTCTCACGGCCCCGTGTGACGTCTTCCATTTCAGTGTCCGCTCCCAGAGGTTTTTAGGTAGCAGCTCCCCCAGCCGAGGGGAGAGGGGCCAGAGGCCGCGGTGCCGATCCTCGTCCGTGCCCCGGCATGCCGCACAACTGCGGCCAGCCGCGTGTCTGGGACGTGTGTGTGTGTCCGTGGATCCACAGAGGGGACACTTCTGTGGGTCCAGAGAGGGGACACTTCCATGGATCCACAGAGGGGACACTTCTGTGGGTCCAGAGAGGGGACACTTCTGTGGATCCACAGGGGGGACAATTCCGTGGATCCACAGAGGGGACACTTTGGTGGATCCACAGAGGGGACACTTTGGTGGATCCACAGAGGGGACACTTCTGTGGATCCACAGAGCCATGTCCCGTAACTCCTGGCTGTGTTTGTGGTGCTGCCGAAGCGCGGCGCGTACGGAGCGTCTCCACGCTCACATCCTCGCGCACGGCCAGGATGAGCTGGGCTTTGGAGAAGCCTCGGCCGTCGCTGGATCTCCCGTGCGGGAACAAAGAATGTGCTCAGTGACTTGGGTTGCAAAGCTTTATCGTGGATGTCTCTTACCTTCAGCTGAAGCCAAAGACGCGCCGAGGACTCTGGGAGCCGCTCCCCTCCCGGGGGAACCCCACGGGATCCAGAGAGAGAGCGCTGCCTTCGGACACGGCCGGCGCTTCCCCTGCTTCTCACAGCTCCCCACTATTTCTGTCATATGGGGAAACTTTCTACTTGGCCTCCTGTATATTTATTATGGGGAATTTTTTATTGGTTACATTTTTTAAGAAGGCAAAGCTTAGAATGGTTTTATTTTTTATTTTCCGGACACTTGTGGGTTTTAACCTGATATATTATTATCTATGGATAATGTAATTTATTTAATTTAGTCTTAGGGCAGGTCCTGAGAAGTCTGTCGAGTCTGAATCCCCTTGTGCTCTGTTTAGCTTTTGAATTCAGTGGCAGTTTTGCCTGAATGTTGAAAGGGGGGATCAGGCTGTGATGTTTAGCTATTTGTATCTATTTAATTCAGCCGTTTGTGAATGCATTTGGGACTCATTTCCCTTATTTTCCATGGGACTGTTGTGGCGCATCGGGGATGCGAAGCCCGTTAGGAAAAACTCTTCAGAGTTGGCATTGCCAGGTTCTGTCAGACAGGGCAAGAAACAACTCGTCCCACTAAACAGAAATCTACTTTTAATTCTTTCTTTTCATTAATTTTAATTGTTTAAATATCAAAGCTTAAATTATTTAAGTTATTATTTTCCCTCCTGATTAGAGTGCGTGACATGCCTTTATTATGGCACATGAAACTTTCATAATATAACTTATTTATTTAATTTATTTGTCATCATCCGGGGATGCCCTTGTAGAGTTTTTATTTTTATTTAGAATTATCTATAAAGCACTACAGCTGATTTCCTGCAAGAACAGCAGAGCAAACTTTGAGGACAAGCAATGAATATTCAACCTTAAACTGTGCATTCAGAAAAATAGGAAAACCAAAAAAAAACCAACCCCCCCCCAGAAAAAAGACACTGGGATGTTTTGCCTGAACTTTGTGGCTTCTGAAAACTAAAGCTGGGGGGAAAAAAGCAAAAAGAGAGAAACCCTTAAACTAGCTGCTTCCAAGAATGAACTACTGTGTGTGGGAAAAAAAAAGAAAAGGATAAAAAAAAAAAAGGAAAAAAGAAAAAAAAACCAAAAAAAACCTTTCTATTTCTAGTGAGAACCAAAGAGGCTACCTCACTGACTTTTCCATTTGTAATTTTAATCGTGTTGATGATACCAAAGATACCAAAGATTTCTTTCTCTGTGCGGTCTGCATTCTGCTTGTGCTCTCTGATGACTCCCAGTGTTCTCTCCCACACCCAGAAAGGTCCAGCAGAGCCCAGATTCCCAAAGAAACGCTCCCCTGGAAGCTGCTGCTTCTGGTGCTGCCCTTCTCTGTGTTCCCTTCTCCTCCTGCCAGCCCGGGGACCTGCAGCCGGTCCGGCCGCGGGGAGCTGCGTGTGCCGGGAGCTGGCTCCGGTTCTGAGCATCCTCAGCCCCAAGGATGGGCTCTGTGGATCATCCTCAGGCTCTGTGAATCCATCCTCAGCTTCCTGGGATGGGATCTGTGCATCCATCCTCAGCTTCCTGGGATGGGATCTGTGCATCCTCAGCTTCCTGGGAAGGGCTCTGTGAACCCTCAGCCTCCAAGGATGGGATCTGTGCATCCATCCTCAGCTTCCTGGGATGGGTTCACTGCATCCTCAGCTTCCTGGGAGGGGATCTGAGCATCCTCAGCCTCCAAGGATGGGCTCTGTGAATCCTCAGCTTCCTGGGATGGGATCTCTGCATCCTCAGCTTCCCAGGAACAGACCTGTGAATCCATCCTCATCCTCCCAGGAAAGGCTCTGTGCATCCCCAGACTCCCAGGAAGGGCTCTGTGAATCCATCCTCATGTTCCAGGGAAGGTCTCTGTGAATCCATCCTCATGTTCCAGGGAAGGTCTCTGTGAATCCATCCTCATGTTCCTGGGAAGGGCTCTGTGAATCCATCCTCATGTTCCTGGGAAGGGCTCTGTGCATCCTCATCCTCCCGGGAGGGGCTCTGGGCTCTGCCCTGGGGGTTTGCAGCAGCACTGGTTCTTGTTTTTGCCTGCCTTGAGCAGAGCCCAGGGCTGCTGGGGTCTCGGGGCTCTCCCCACCGGGAGACGCTCCTCTCCTCACCTTTGCTCGTTGTTTACAATTGCAGTTTTCAGATAAAAACCAATTAATTCCTTTTGTCAAGTCAGCAATGAAGCGAGGCTGCGTTAAGCTCCATTAGCAGGACGTTCCTGATTCTTTCCAAGCTGTTTGTTTGTTTGGGTGGGGAATGCCCTTTGGCTCTCGGTTCTGGGGCTGTCCTGCTGTCTGCAGGATGCTCTGAGGAGCCGGAGCCAGCCCCGGGCGCTGCCCCAGCCGGGACAGCAGCCCTGGGGCCCGGGCCCTTCCCTGAGCAATCCTCGGCTTCACAGAGCTTTCATTAACTGTTGCCTTTTATTTCGTATTTCTTCGGGGGTTGAAGTCTGGGTTGGAAACGGTAGGACTCGCCAAGTGTGCTTTTCTCTCTGTCTCTGTGTTCCTTGACTACAAAGCTATAATAATTCTCAGGATGCCTTCTGGGCGGGGGGAGCCGAGTGTCCCCGTGCCCTGGGACACGGACAGTCCCCAGAGCTGGCAGGGTCCCCGCGGCCCCCGACTCCTGCTTCACTTGCAAAGAGTGATGTTACCACGGGACGAGTGCCTTGCTTGAACCAAAGCAACCATTTTGCCAGTCTAGACCTCTCTGTGCTTTTGTTTTTATTCTTCCTGTGAATACCTCAGCTTGGACCGGGCCGCAGAATCGTACCTGGTGGGTTTTGTACTGCGCTGCTTTGCAATGCAGCCCTGCAAAGAACAGACTCCTGATGATACCAAAGGCTCTCCTCCTCCTCCTCCTCCTCCTCCTCCCTCGCCCTGATTTCTCTTTCTCCATGGTTCCAAAGCTTTATTACGAACTGGGCATGTTGGCAACGCAGACCGTGCAATCCCTCACCGAATTTTCTCAGATATACCTCATAGAGAATAGCTGTTTAGAGTAATGTTATTATAGCGTATGTAAGAAATTATTCACTGGTTCTTTTTGGTAACTGTGATTTAAAAGGAAAAAAAAAAAAAACAACAAAAAAACAGAAAAAGAAGAAGAAGAAGCTTTATATGTTTTAGGTTGTGCTTTTGTACTAGACGGAGAAGGTGCGCTTAAAAATGTACGTCAGTCTTTCTTCCCATTGGGTTTTTTTTTGTTATTATGGATCGGGGAAAAGTTGCAGAATGAGCCCAAAGTTTACAGTTTCATATTTTGCTGAAGAAACAATCTGTGTTCATTTGCTCTGTTGGAAAATAAAATAAAAAAAAAAATTAAAAAATAAAAAAAAAAAGAAAGAAAAAGAAAACCAAAAGAGGAAAAAAAAAAATAATTATTTTCTACATTTGTGCTACTTGGTCTGAAGAGCTGATTGTCCTGTGTGACGGTGTAGTATTATAATTAGCAGCTGCCAATCAGCGCTGCCGTGTTTATGCATGAGGCAAACCCTTAGGAGTGTGATGCATCGTGGTTCTTGATGGCGACTTCTTCCTCTGCCTTTGGGCCGAGCTCTTTGGGCTGTTGGGATTTCTCTGTGCGCGGAGCCCGTTGGCTGTGGGCAGCGCGGCGCGGTCGTGTGAACGCTGTGACATCGTGTTCTCCCCGTGGGGCTCAGCACCGGCCCGTGTCCAACACACCCAAATTCAGCTCCAGTGGCGTGGAGTGTCCGCTCCCTTCTCCATTTGAGGAGAACTTTGGCCACCCAGCCGCTCCTCCCCAGTTCTGTCGGCTCGGCCTCCTGGCAGTGCCCACCCTGCTCCTGACCAGGCGCCTTTTCCCGGGATCAGGAGCTGCTCTGGCTTTATGGCAGCCCCGGGATGGACGGGACGGGTGCTCAGCTGCTGCTGTGCCAGCACGGGCAGGGACACGGGCCTGGGGACAGCAGCGCTGCCACCGCGCCCCCGTCCCCTGGCTGGGCTGGGCCCTGGCTCCGGCAGCTCTCACCCTGCCCCAGGCCAGGTTTAGAGGTGCTGTGTCCTCCCTGGCTCTGGCAGCCCTCACCCTGCCCCGAGCGGGGTTAGAGGTGCTTTACCCCCTTTGGTTTGTCCCTGGCTCTGGCAGCCCCTCACCCTGCCCCGAGCGGGGTTAGAGGTGCTTTACCCCCTTTGGTTTGTCCCTGGCTCTGGCAGCCCTCACCCTGCCCCGAGCGGGGTTAGAGGTGCTTTACCCCCTTTGGTTTGTCCGTGCTGCAGGCCACACTGATGCTCCAGCCACCCCCTGTAAGGATGGCTTTGATCTGCTGGTCTCTGGAGCCCCCCATGTCCCCCTGGGACCCCTTCACATCCCCCTGGGACCCCTTCATGTCACCTGGGACCCCTTCTCCTCCCCCAGGACCCACTCACATCCCCCTGGGACCCCTTCATGTCCCCTGGGACCCCTTCTCATCCCCCAGGACCCCTTCTCATCCCCCTGGTGCCTGGCTGTGGCTGATTTTCTCTGCCAAAGACGCTACCGGACACAAGAAGCTGAAGTGGGGGTTTTTGTGAGACAGTTGATGATTGTAACAGTGGTTAATCTTCCCGAAAGCCTTCCACGTTCTTCCGCAATAAGCAGAGCCAGGATGCTCGGGCAGAGCCTTGCTGGCAGATGCCAGCACTCGTCACCAAACGGGGCGTGGGGACACCTGCATCCCTCAGTCCTGAGCAGCACAGGGGACATTGGGGGACATGAGGCCATGGCAAGGGCACGGGGACACTGCATCCCTCAGTCCTGAGCACCTGGGGGACACTGGGGGACCTGAGGCCATGGCAAGGGCACGGCGGGGCTGCCACCAGCTGCTCCAGCTGGCTGCAATTTGCCAAGGTACTCACTTGTATTATGAAATTTAAGGTCTATTTTATTATGTCATTTTATGTCATTTTTTAACTTTGTGGAAGGTGGTATGTTGAACTGAGTGTAAGCTGAGTTTTTCAGACAAATAAAGTAGCTAAAGAGTGAATGTTATTTTATCATTAAAGGGTTTTTACTCACTGATTTGTGCCAATAGATGTCCTTTATCTCAATGACAAGTATTACATTGCTTTCAAAGTTTTATTTATAGCTATTGATGTAAAACCCACACACACATATTATTTGCCAAAGTTCAATAAAGGAGGAAAACGATGCTTTCGCTTCCTTGTGCCGTCAGAAGTTCCTGGTTTTTCCCCAGGGTTTTTTCTGCCACAGCCCCGTCCCAGAGCAGGGGTGGAGCGGAGCCCAGCAGGGCTTGGGCTGCTGCAGCTGCCAGGGACAGCGAGGCTGAGGAGAGCTGAGCACATCCCAAAAACGCTGCCTGGGAACGAGCAAAAGTGCTTGGAAAAAGATGTGGCACCTTCTCCCAGGAGCCGTGATATCACAGCAGAAATGGCTTTCTGTTCATGTAACTCATGTTGTTTTATGATTCAATGTAATTACCATCAAATGATGTCAGTTACTGCGCTTTCTTTCCCTGAAGCAGCTCTGCGGGAGGAGGCAGGAGGTTCCTGGAGCTGAGACTCCATGGCAAGGAGGATGTAGCAGGTTTGCCTTCCTTCAGTCAGTCACTTAGCCTAGCTTTGCTGTATTTCTGTCTTTAAAAAGCGAACAAAACCAGCCCTTTCTTGCCCTAACTGGCTCCTCTCTGCCCACCTGGAGCAGGGCCAGCCTGGGGAGGGCACGGGGGGACCCCAGAGCCCCCAGCCCCAGAGCAGTAGCTGCAGGGTTTATTGTCTGGGATCTAACCTCGGGGTTAATAAACTCACTGAGAAATTTGTTTTCGCACTCATTCTGTGTCCCTCTCTCGACACTGAGCCAGATTCTGCCATCAATTAAATTTCCGCCGCTTCGTTTCACTTTGCTGAGCGGCCGCGGGTGCAGATGAAGGCAGAGCCCAGCACTGGCTCTTCCCAGCCCCTCTCCTTCCCCTCGGGCCGGGTGTGCAGGGGGGTCCTGCGCCCCCCGGGCCCCCTGTGCTGCCCGAGGAGTGTTTTCCCAAGCCCCTCGCCTGGTGAGGCCCGCGGGAACCGGGAAAGGGAAAATCGCTTTAACAGCGAAGAGGCCAAAGTGGTGACACCGAGACTAATGCAGGCACGGCAGGTCGTTCCCATCTCACTCGCAGGATTGTTCCCTCGGGAACGCGTTTTCCAGGCACTTAGCAGCGGGCACAGCTGGAAGAAGGAAATGGGACCATTTCATTAAGCTGCCGAAAGCCGAGCTGGAGGATGCGCGGTGGGATTGCAGCCGGGTCAGCAGCAGCTTTTCCCAGTGCCAGGCTCTGCACCCACGGAGCTCATTCCTGAATTCCCCTCAACTCGCTCCTTCCTAACCCTGCCGAGAGCCACAGCTGCTCCAAAACCCGCCTCGGTTTGGGGAACAAAGGTAAAACCCCGAGCAGCCCTCCCATCCCAGGGGTGCAGGGCCAGCCCCCGGCAGCCGGGCTGGATGGCTCTGCCTGCCGCAGGCTTCTCCTTGCTGGAAGCTGCCCCTGTGGAAGCTGCCCCTGTGGAAGCTGCCCCTGTGGAAGCTGCCCCTGTGGAAGCTGTCCCTGCTGGAAGCTGCCCCTGTGGAAGCTGCCCCTGTTGGAAGCTGCCCCTGTTGGAAGCTGCCCCTGCTGGAAGCTGCCCCCGCTGGAAGCTGTCCCCGCTGGAAGCTGTCCCCACTGGAAGCTGCCCCCGCTGGAAGCTGTCCCTGCTGGAAGCTGCCCCTGCTGGAAGCTGTCCCTGCTGGAAGCTGTCCCCGCTGGAAGCTGTCCCTGTGGAAGCTGTCCCTGTGGAAGCTGCCCCTGCTGGAAGCTGCCCCTGTGGAAGCTGCCCCTGTGGAAGCTGTCCCTGTGGAAGCTGTCCCTGTGGAAGCTGTCCCTGCTGGAAGCTGTCCCCACTGGAAGCTGCCCCTGTTGGAAGCTGCCCCTGTGGAAGCTGCCCCTCTGGAAGCTGCCCCTGTGGAAGCTGTCCCCACTGGAAGCTGCCCCCGCTGGAAGCTGCCTGCAAACCTCCAGGAGGGACTCCGGGGCCCAGCCCAGAAAGGGATAATGGCAGGAAGCCATAAGATATTAAACCAGCAGATTAAAACATACAAGACCACTTTGGGTCATGTTACACATCCCTCCCCTCCGCCTGGCGGTAGAAGACAAGCGTAATGGCCCAGCAAGTCCGGGCTAAAAGCGCTGGGGGAGTTGGCTGTGAGGAGCCGGGCCTGGGCACCGAGCCCCCCCGATGCTCCGGGCATTATCCCTTAAGTGCTCCTTTAAACTTCCCTGGAAGCGCCTCCGCTCGCTGCAGAATCGCAATTAGTGATCTTCACACGTTATGGATCATCCTCACAAGTGACGGGAGAATGGAGCTCCCTCCTCTCCATCATTCCGGGAACCTCGGCAGCCCCTGTCCCTGCCCCGGGGGGGGATCTCACAGAGCCCCCCAGCCCTGATCAGCCTTGGGGGGAGCCCAAAGACCACGGGCAGGGACCCCTGCCCCGGGAGCCGAGCTCCAGGGCTGCTCCTGAGAAGCTCTGGGGACGGGCAGGAGCTCTCCCTCCCCACTCTGCGCTCTCTTGGCCTTTGGGGCTCGGATGTCCCCGGGCAGCGCTCCCGGAGCTGCCTCTGAGCGCGGGGATCAAAGGGCCCGTGCCCCGGAGCTGATCCCTCTCTGCACAGACAATCCATCTCCACACAGGCACGGCAAGGATGCTCATCAGCCGGGCCAATGGACCCCAACTCAATAACTTCTCCTGGCAGCTACAGCTGAGCACATTGCTGAGGCTCACACAGCCAAATCCCCGCTCAGAGGTGAAACAGCAGAGCTTGGGCTCAGATTCCAGGAGAAAAGAAGCACCTTCCCTGCTCTCCTCCTCATTTCCCAGCTCCCACCGTGCTGGGTTTGCAGCCTGCTCTCTCCCCATCACACCCCAGCCACAAGAGCTCACTCATGGATCAGCTGAAGCATCCAACATCCCCAGTCCCTGCTCCAGAAAATAATTAGCCCAGCACTTCATCAGTAACATCGGCAAGGAGCTGCCCAGAGACCGCTAACGGGGAGCAGGGTGAATTATCCATCGCAGCTGGGATCCCAGACCAGGGCAAATCCCCGCTCCACGTCTGCCCCAGCCGCTTTAGGGGGTGGAACTCACCCCAGCCTGGCACCAGAGGTGCAGAGAGAACTTCAAACACCAGCATAAAGACAAAGACACACAGCTCAGGTATTTCTTAAAAAAAAAAAACAAGTTTAATTGGAATTCCATCCTTATGGCAAATGACACGCAGTAGGATTATCCAAATTTGCTGTGCTACACCAACTGGAAGTCCTTGTTAATCTGAAATGCATATGTTGGGCTAAAAGCAAATATCTGTACACATCTGGCACGGACAAAATGAAAGGAGCTGCTCTGTCCTGCAGCTTCATGGTGATCCCCAGCTCTCGGGGCATGTGGCAGGGGAGAATTCACCGAGCTTTTAGGTGCTCCTGGGGAAACCCTGCCCGCCCTGAGCTCAGCTGTGCCATCCTCCTGTCCAGAGGACGGCAGCTCTGACACCATCCACACAGCTTTTGGTGTCACAGCACCTTTTGGAAGCTCCCACCTTCTCTGAAATGCAGCCAGGACCGAGGGACAGGTTAAAAAGAAACTCAAAAGAAAAAAAAATCACTCAATAATTAAAAAAAAAAGCCAAACTGCGGTGTGAAAGCAGGAAAACAAGCTCACCCCCCTTCACTTCCCCCTTCTTCCTTCCCTCAGGACACTGCTCCTCAGCTTCCAGCAGCTATCCTGAGGGATACCCAGGAGCTCTGGGGGGCAGGTCCCAGCTGACTCCTGGGGCAGGAGGACAGTGACCCCCGGCACCCCCAGAGCCCCCCAGGGCTGCAGCCCAGGCCGTGGGACCCCAGGGATGAGCAGAGCAGCTCCAGGGCTGCAGCCCAGGCCGTGGGACCCCAGGGATGAGCAGAGCAGCTCCAGGGCTGCAGCCCAGGCCGTGGCACTGAGTTCACAGAGAGTTCCTCTCTCCTCGGGAACTCAGAAACCTCCAAGAGAACTCTGACAGCAACCAGCACCACAGCTCTGTGAGATGGGCCCCAGCTGCTCAAGGCTGGAAAATTAAGTGATTTCTACGTGATGGTGTAATAGCAGCAACAGAGTAATTATCCCACTTGCGGTTAGAACACTCAAAAGTGAATTTTAAGTACCTTTTATTACTGGGGACCAAGGTAATGCCTCAGAATCAGTGCCAGCTAGTAGTTTCAAGGCTCTCTCCAGTATGAAAATGAAAAGCCATCTGTATTTATAACACCACAAGGTTCATACAAAGCTAACCTTCGCTTTCCACACTTGTAAATGCGCTGGTCACAGCTTGGAGCACCTGAAGGTCCGCGTTCCCTGCAGCTGGGAGGAAGCAGGAGTGAGGAGGAAGATTTGACAGAGCAGACTGTTCTCTGCTGATCCCTAAGTGTCAGGCAGAGAGGTGGAACAGAGGAGGTTGTTTGTCCAGTGAGGTGTAAGGCCAGTGGACAGACTGGACATCTGTGCTCCTTCCTCCTGCCCAGGCAGCGAGCAGAGCCCAAGGGGAGGGAGAGGAGGGACAAGAGAAGCTTCTGGCTCCCTGCAACAGGCACAGGCACGAAGGGTCGAGGAAGACTTCTTTCTGAGAGGGACAGGGCGCTGCAGAGGTTCTGGCACTGGAGGAATCTGTCTCACCCTGGGAAGCAGGTATGGCAGTGAGCAGGCAGCTCTCCAGAGCCATCAGGGATGTACAGCACCCCACAGCATCCAGCCGTTCCTCCAGTACCCCAACAGAACTAGACAAACCCCTGCTGGACCACAGGAGGCCTCTTCTCTCTAAACACCCTGTTCTCCCAAGAGCAGAGCTCCAAACTGCTCGTGCCTCACCTGAGCAGCACGGCAGCAGCAGCAGTGCCCAGGCAGCAGCAGCAGCAGTGCCCAGGCAGCAGCAGCAGCGCCCAGACAGCAGCAGCAGTGCCCAGGCAGCAGCAGCAGTGCCCAGACAGCAGCAGCAGTGCTCAGGCAGCAGCAGCAGTGCCCAGACAGCAGCAGCAGTGCCCAGACAGCAGCAGTGCTCAGGCAGCAGCAGCAGTGCCCAGACAGCAGCAGCTCCCAGCCTGCAGTGCCCAGGTCCTGGCATTTCAGTGCTAAGGACATCAAGTAAACGTGTGGCCCCCAAGGGGGTCACTCAGTGCCAGGGCCCTGCCCTGCTGGGGCTGGCAGCCTTTCAGGAGAGCCCTGCCTGCTCTCAGGGATCTGCAGTGTGAAACTCTGAGTGACTCCTGACCGATCCTCTCCGTTTCAATAACAGCAATTACAGCCCTGCCCACGGCACTGCACAGCTATCCCACAAAACCACACTGCTGCGGCACAGTAGAAAGCACAGAGCGGAGCTGTAAACCCCCTGGAGAACAAGCCTGACTTCCTAAATTTACTTCACCAAACAGAAAAAGCCCTTTTTAATAAAAATAAGAATTTTAAAAGCCGTTCTGCTTAACGGATAAGCCAACATGTTTCCACATGTGCTCCTGCTAGACTTGAAACACAATGGAGCAAATTCTCCAGTATCACCCAAGCAGGCAAATGCCTTTCCATTTATGCTCTTCAAATGCTTTCCTGCAGATAATGAAAATGTTTTTCCTAGAAAATGTAAACAAGTTTTGTGCGTTCTACTATCTCAGCTAAGCTTTCACCCCAAGTTTCTGGCAGGAGAAAACCAAACCAAAACAAAGCCTTATCTTTAAATTCTGAAAAAAACCCCAAATATATATATATATATGTATATATATACACACACATTATTGAAAAGCATCAGGAGTCACTTGATCTCCAAAATCTCCAAAGCCAGCTGCAAAGTCCCTCTCAGAACAAACAGGCTGTGCTGGTCAGAGTGCACCTTAAACAAAAGCAAAACAACCTTGGAGCTGGCCAGAGAGTGCACTCGTGCCCACCCTGCATACAAACGAATCCCTGCATAGAAATAGAAGCTAATTGTAAAAAAGCCGTGTAAGGTTTTCAGTGCATACTGCTGGGCTCACGCTAACTCCGGTCGGGGTCGGTGACACGGGATCTCCTCACACCCCACAGGAGAAATGCCCTTATTCCCCTACTTCCTACAACTCTTCTCAAAGAAAGAAATGATGGGGAGGAGGAAGGCAAAGGCAGGCTGTGCCTGCTGCTGGCCAGCCCTGCCCAGGCCCGGGGCTCACAGGGGCTGGCTGCTGAAGAACGCCTTGCTCTCCCTGCACACGGGGTTGACGCAGAGCGGGCAGCACAGGGTCAGCTGGCGGGAGCACACCTCGTTGGACTGCAGGTGGGAGCACACCAGGTCTGCCAGGGCCTGTGGGGCAGGGGGAACGGTCAGAGGGAGCAAATCCAGCTGTGCAACCCCCCCCAGCCCAAGCCGGGCAGCCCGTGCCCCCTTCTGCCAGCAGCGCACGGACTGCGGCACAGGGAGCCCCTCTGAGCTGGACAGGGTCCACAGGGGCTCCACCTGTGCTCCTAAACTCAACATACATTCAGTCTACCTGCAAACACCCACAGCCAGCAGGAAACACAACTGCAGACCCCTCCAGCCCCTGAGACACAGCAGATACCTTGGAGAACAGCGGGTTTCCATTCAGAGACTCCGCTCTTCTGATGTTCTCAACTCCACACTGAATCAAAAATAAGGAGGAAAAAGAGAAACCTGTTAATCTGATCCTTCACTTGGAAGCCTTCAAAATCTGCCTGTTTCATTCAGAGGTTGCCCCAAAATGACAGAATTAAATGCAGTTTTGTGGTCTTTAGTACAGCAAAAATTACTGAGGGACAACTTTACATCTTGCTGCCAAAAATCATTCATTCTTTTTTAGCAGTATTTGTAATGGTTTAGAGATCTCAGCCTAGAAAGACAAACTCCCATCCTGTTTTGTGGTTAAGCCGGTTCTGATTAATTTCTGATTTATAGGAAAATAAAGCAAATCCCAAACAGTACCAGAAGCAGCAACTACAAAGGCAATTTCAACCTGGGAGAAATCATTTCAGAGCAGGGACCAAACCCACAGGGCACTCACCTCGCTGGCTAAAACCTGGGCATACTCGATATCCAGCTCATACAGAGTTTCAATGTGGTCACTGGTAAATGCAATTGGGACCAGCAACATGTTCCTCTTTCCTCGCTGGCACAGTCCTTTGATGGTCTCGTCTGTCTGGGGGCCGAGCCAAGGCATTGGGCCAACCTGGGACCAAAAGCAGAGGTAAGAGAAGAACCCTCATTCTTACAAAGAACATTTCCCTAGGCAGGCTGACAGAGCAGGTTATGGGTGGGACAGAAACAGCTATTTCTATTTCCCTGCTTTTGCTTGTACTTGTCACTTTCTCCATTAAATGTCTAATGAAGACACACCTCCCACTGTTACATCTCAAAGGAGCAGAACCTGGGCTGGCCTGAGCAAGGCTGAGTAGAACTGAAAATGTAGATAAAGGTGAATTTTTTTCAGTCCAGTAAGAGCCTGCACAGGGTTTAGCTGCTCCCTGAGCACATACCTTGGACTGCCACACCAGCCTGTAAGGGTTGGAGTAGTTGAGCTTCTCCATGACCCTCTGGACAGTGGCTCCCACCTCCTGAGGGTAGGGATCACCGCGGTTCACCACCTGCAGCACAAACACAGCAGCCCTTGGCACCAGGGGACACTCTGGGCAAGGCCAGCTCTGCCCAGCCCTCCCACAGCTGTGTCCCCACGCCCTGCCCCACGGAACTCACAGACATGGGCAGCGAGTGCGCTGAGAACAGGATGACCACCTCTTTCCTTTTGTCCGGGGGGAACAGGTTCAGCTCCTTCTGGATGTGATCAGCAAAGCACTGCTCAGGGAAACAAAGCCAGGCCAGAGTCAGGCACCCCTGCTCTCGGGGATGCAGCCAGGCAGCTCCCGTGTTCCCTGCTGCCCCAGGAGCTCCCAGTTCCCTCCGTGTGTCCAGGGAGTGTCCCCCAGCACAGGCAGCTCTGCCCCCCTGCCTTCAGTGCCTTTTCCATCTGCTCAGCACCCCACAGGAACTGCAAACCCACAGGAAAGGGAGCAGAAGCTCCCTGAAGAAGACCAAAGAGCCGTTTTCTCTGGAAAGAAAGCAGCAAGAAGGCTTCCCTTCCTGCCACAGCCAGGAGCTACTCCTTGCTGCCAGAGGGGAATCTGCCAAAACACCATAATCTGTGGGTGTGCTGATCACAGACCTGCTCTGAGCAGGAATTTGGACTAATGGCCTGAAGAGGTTCCTTCCAGCCACCACCATCAGGGTAACATCACCCAGTTTTTGAAACAGGATGTGCCCAGGGGTCACTTTCACACGTCACCTTGCCAAAGCGTGGGGTGTGAAATAACCCTCCTTCTGTCATTTCAGACATGGTAGACAAGACCCATTTCATCACGCAACCCTCAGATTGAAGTCTTCCTGCTATCCTTCCTCTTTTCTAGATTTTACAATAAAATATATACAGCTCAAAGCCTTCAGATCCACACCTGAATGAGAAGGGGATGTGTGGGCCATCGGTCAATTATGCTCCACTTCATCTTTGGCTTCTCCCCTTTCTCGTTATAGTAGCGATAAATGGCATTTAAACTGCTTCCTGCAACAGAGAATTAACACCACGGGTTCAGCCAGGCCACAGCAAGCTGTCAGACCAAAACAGCCTGGCAGCAAGCTATTACCATATTTTAAAATGCTCCCTAATTAAAATGCAACCGTAAATCAGAGCTGTGAGTCTGCAGGGCGAAGGATTTCATCCCAGGCCGTACAGTGCAGCGGTGTGCCCCGAAGGTTCATCCCCAGCCACGTGCCCCCAGCAGCCGTGCCCTGCTCACCCGTGGTGGAGCAGCTGTACTGGGGGTACTGGGTGAAGGCCACGGCTCTCTCGATGCCATCCCTCTCCATGTCGGCGATGGCCTCCTCCGTCAGCGGGTGCACGTACCGAAAGCCGATGTAGTACTTGTGAGGCGCTGCCAGCACGGGACACAGACCACAGCAAAGGGGAGAATTCACAGAAACACATCTTTGAATGTCAAACACACAGGAACAGGCAGGCTGAAACTGCTGTCAGGGACACCTGCTCTCCCAAAATTCCCATTTTGGAGGGGTTTCATAAAAAGCTTCACGGCTTTAACACCTAATTTTGGCAGCGATATGGTTCTCCCTGGAGACATCTCAGGTTCCTCCAGTTTTTATCTCTAATCTCTTGGGTGTCAGCTTTGGGAGCATGGCTTGGTTAGAGGATGGGAGGCAGGCAGGGGAGGTTTGCTGTTTTGTTTTTTTAAGTGGAGGACAGAGGTTCTTAGGAGAACAAAAGCAAAGTTTCTTTTTGAGGGTTTCCGGGTCAGTGGCTCTGAAATAACATTCAGCAGGTTTCTGAAGGAAGCAGATGTCCCGTGCTTGGGCTCCACTCCATACATTTATGCAGGATTCAGAAAACAGGTTTAGTCAGCCCCAGTTCCCTGCAGGAGGCGGGAGAGCTCCCAGCTGGGAGCAGCAGCAAATAAAAACCCAACTTCAGGAGCCCTTGAGCCAGAAACCTCATTAACATCTTTGAATGGCATTAAAGACAAAAGTCTGACTAACCACAGCAGGGACCGAAGGAGTTTAACCTGGGAAAGGACATTTTGGGAAGAACATGGCCTGGACTTTAAATGACAGTGACGTCCTGCTGTGGTCCTGTAGGACAGAGCCATTCCCTCCCAGCAGCTGGCACTGTGCTGTGTGCTGCTGACACACCGAGGTTTCACTTGCCAGAAGGCAAGTGAGTGCTGCTGACACACCGAGGTTTCACTTGCCCACACCAGACCAAGGCAAAATGACCCTCAAAGTATTTCTTTTCTGCCACATTTCACACGGGACCAGCACCTCCTGCAGTCACTCAGTGAGAGGGCTCAGCACTCCCAAAGTGCTGCCTGTGAGCACTCCCAAATTCCCAAATGCTGTCTGCAAGCACATCCAGCTGTTCCAGCTGTTCTGAGGGGACAGGAGCTCTCTCTGCACGCTCACTTGGGATGCCCAAGGAAACGGTGGGAGGCGCTCAGCACCTTCTGTTGTCAAACTGCAGCTGCTGTCAAGTGAAAAAGAAGCTTCCAAAAGACTTATCAGGTGGGAGAGGTGCCCAGAGAAGGGTGTGACTGCACACAGAGTGGTCACCAAACAAAAGCAAGTGGGAGTGGGACACTGGGGAAAGCAGATAAACCTTCCAAGCCTTATCTGCAGAACCTGCTGCAAGGCTGACCCTTCAGGGGCTCCAAGCACGCTCCTGCCCTGGTGACAGAGCAGGGCTCAGGCTCTGACTGCACCTGCAGGGAGCACAGCTCCAGCTACGCTAGGGACTCACATCTGTGCAGAAAGGACTGAACATCACCTGAATGGAGGCACCAGTGACACACCACCTTCTCAGTGGATGAAATAAATTTGGTTCTAGCCTTCCAAGAACGTTGCTTTTATCCTTCCAGACCCTTTTAGCAGTCCTTTTCCTCTAGCCAAGCCTGAGGTACGTGCCACAAAGAGCTACAGTCCAGTCCTGCACAAAAGGACATTGCCAGAAACATCTGCACCCGTTTCCCATCCCAGCTGTGCTAGCAGGCAGTGCCACAGGCTGTCCTGTACCAGTCAGCACCCCTCGCTGGGAGGGAGAGAGCTTCAGAGGGATCCTGTCACACTGACAGCAGGGAGGGAGGCTGTGTTCATGTTTGAGGTTTTCTCCTCATGCAGGACTGGCAAAAAGAATATTTCTTTCCACCCCAGCCAAACTGCCCAGCCTTATCTCCTGCTGTGTCCCGGGTGGGGCTCGCTGCTATCGCTCAGCCCTGCCCTGCACTGCCCAGCTGCAAAGCCTTGTCTTTTCTGCAGCTGTCCTCCTTTCGGCCCTGAAACAGCTACTGAGAGTTCTGAGCCTCCCACACACGCCTTAGTGGCTCATGATACATTCCCCTTCCTTCCCACGTAAGCCTCAGGCGCTGGTCTCCAGCGCAGGCTTCCTCGGGCTCAGGCAGGGCTTACAGGGCAAGCTGCGGTGCCTGGCAGTGCCACACACCAAGGGAGACCCCTGGCACCTGCCTCTGGACACCCCAAAATAACACACCTGGTCTGTGACAGTCATCTTCCCTCCATCACAGGAGGGACAGGTGACTCGACAAGGGCCCTACAACGAACTCAATCCCTCCTGTGCTGCCTTCCCAGCAGGGCTGAGACCCACAGCAGCCCACAGTGAAAAGCGAGAGGCCAAAGCCGCTCTGCAAGCACAGGTTGGGCAGCAGAGGCGGCAGCAGCCCGCAGGAGGCTGAGCAGAGCAGTACCAGTGTGAGGAGACATGCTGTCCAGCAGCTTCACCATGCCCTCTCCCTGCACCGCCGTCCACTTCTTGATGGGGGAGCCCCCGCCGATCCTGCTGTACTGCTCCTGGATTTTCGGGGTGCGGCGCTTGGCAATGAGCGGAGCTAATTGACTGCAGCACGGAGAGGGACACGTTAACAGCACAGCCCCAGCCACCCCTCCCCAGAGCTCTGCTGCAGCAGCCTTTCCCTGCTGTCCCCACAAACTACAGCAAAGCAGCACGGCTTGTTTGGTGCTGCGTTCCACCGCCCTTCCCACACCGCAGTCTGCAATTAAAAGAGAGCCAGCACGGCACAGCTACTTCCAGAGAGTTCTGGCACTGCCTCTTGCACTGCTCCCAGGATGAAGCAGTCTCAGGGAACGCTGCTGTCTACACAGGGTAAATATCAGAGCCTCCAGCTCAGGCAGGGACACCCAGCCCCCCTGGAGCACAGGAGATCCCAGCGCTCCTCACTTTTGAGCTGGAAGCGTCATTAGATCTCTGTCCAGGAAGAGACGCAGGAGGAAATCGTGGACGTCATCCAGCCGCTCCGGGCCTCCCATGTTCAACATCAAGATTCCCGTTTTAGGTTTCCTGTGGAAAGCAAGAGATGTTTCAGATCCTAGTGACCCACTGCTTTTATTTTTATTACAATGGCAAAGTAACCAGTTTATCCTCCTGCATTTGCCTTTCACAAAGGCAGCAGCCATGCCAAGGCTCCTCCTGCTTATGTAAACTCTTGTGCTAGGAACAGGAATGGCCAGACACAAGTATCTACATGATCTCTGCTTTTTTAAAAAGTAACCACTCCATAGCACAAACTTTAGCTGGAAACACACTAAGAAAGCTGTCTGGCAGCTGCTGTGTCTAAGGGAGGTTATAAAACAGTCTCGGCTGCGGTTTCCAACCAAACCAAGCAGCAGCTTCCCTGGAAAACAGATGAGCTGCTCGCACAGGTCTTTGTCTTCTTTACTGTGGAGAAACATCTCATCTCCTGCAGTGGTGCCAGAAAGCCTTTCTACACTTCACTGTAGGGCCAGTTGTGTTTGGGTGGGGTTTTTCCAGAATGGGTTTTCTATCCAGGTGCAGGTCTGGCAGCTGCTGTAAGGATAACATCCTGCACAGCACAGCAGCACAGATGGGGCTATCAGCGTTTACAGAATGGCTGCTGATCACAACTCTCACCCAATCTCCCCAGGGAATTGTTTCCCCCGCCCAAGGGAGCCCACAGACCAGGACCTCTCACTTCCCTGGCAGATGGTTTCGGCTGCACAGGGAGCTTTGCCCTCCTCTCCTTAAAGCCAAAGTCTTACAACAGGGCATTGAGAGGATCCCCAGTGTTTCGGGACCTCAGTTTCTGTTCCTCTTCTGCTGGAGCGTGCATCAGAAGGCTGCTGAATAAAACCCAGGAAAGCAGGAACCAGAACTTCAAATGATAGTGATAACGAATGTCCTTCCACTGCTCCTACCCTGCCCCAGGCCTCACGTGGGCCCTGCAGGGACAGGGCTGTCCTTGCCCCTGAGCGAGAGCAGAGACAGGCAGATAAACAATCCCCCCCAAATGGGGCAGAGCTGTCCCACAACTGCCCCACAACTGCCCATGGCTGTCCTACAACTGCCCCACAGCTGTCCCATGGCAGCCCGAGCCCCCACCACGCACACCTACCGCTCCTGGGGCTGGATCTGGGCCTTGGTGCTCTCCGGCACGGCGGCGGCCGTGGCCTGGCCTCTCCATCGCAGCGGCACCCGCAGCTGGCTGCAGCTCCTGAGCACTGCGGAGAGAGAACAGCCCTGAGCCTCACTGAGGAGAACAGCCCTGAGCCTCGCTGAGGAGAGAGAACAGCCCTGAGCCTCGCTGAGGAGAGAGAACAGCCCTGAGCCTCACTGAGGAGAGAGAACAGCCCTGAGCCTCACTGAGGAGAGAGAACAGCCCTGAGCCTCACTGAGGAGAGAGAACAGCCCTGAGCCTCAGTGAGGAGAGAGAACAGCCCTGAGCCTCGCTGCCCTGGGGCCCCACAGCTCCCAGACCCCCCGGCCACACGGAGCCTTCCCCACTCAGCCCCCTGGAATCAAGCAGGAAAGCACAGGCTGCTGCTGCCTTCCTTGGAACTCTTCTGTATTTATCTGCAGGTACCAGGCAGCAGCCAAACCCCAAAGCAAAGCCTGCCTGGGCTGTGAGCTCCAGTCAGAGCTCCAAGTGCTGACAACAGAGCAGAAACAAGGGGCTGACACCACAGGCTGTGACTCCTCGTGGGTCAGACACACCTGGGCTAACCCAGGCAAGCACAGGATTTCCTCAGCATGTCTGCAGCATAGGTTAGACATCTGCTCCTGTTTGATCCTGTGGCAGGAGCAGCGAGCAGCAGCTCCAGAATCCATTTACGTGGAGATCTTCCTTCTCACTACCCAGCCAGGTGATGGTTTTCATCTGGACTTCAGCATCAGACAAACCCCAGGACTTCACAAGTTTGAGCACATCCACCCCCCTCTCCAGCTCTCCTGGAGCCCCCTTTAGCCACTGGAAAGAGCTCTAAGGTCTCCCTGGATCCTCCTCTTCTCCAGGCTAAAGGCTCCAGAGCAGAGGGGCTCCAGCCCTGGCAGCAGCTCCGTGGCCTGCTCTGGGCTCACTCCAGCATCTCCATGTCCTCATTGTCGGGGGCCCTGCAGCTGAACACAACTAGATTATCCTTAAGGTTCCTTCCAACCCATTCCATACAATTCCACGCTGGTTACAGCCTGCCTTTTCAAAGGCACGCTTCATTCTCCTCGGGAGTTCATGGTTATTACATGGTATTCTTTTAGTGCAAATATAGTGTGAATTGCTCATGGTGAAAAAAGAAAAGGTTAAATTCTGCATCCCTGTCTCTTCCACGATTGTTCAGAGCGACATTTCCCCTGTCAGACCGCAGGAGCTCAGCAGCAATTGAGCCCCAATAGCACAGAGCTCCTCGGCAGCCGAGCCACCCGCTGGGAAGAGCATCTTACAGCTCACAGCTCTCTAATAACCTCCTGAACAGATGCTGAACGGCCTCAAACCCTGCCCAAATCAATGGCAACAAAAGTCATCCTGCAAATCCAGCCTCTCACTCGGGACTACCAGTGCCTAGCTGTGGATGCCTGCATCTGCACTGACACAAAAGGCTGCAAACCAAAGAACTTCAAGCATCACCGATGCCTGAAAGACTCTTTTCAAATATTTATTTTTGACTTCCAGTTCTTAGGTTATTACTTTCTGAGGTGCTGACACTGTTCTGTCAGTTACAGAGAACAATAAAAAGGGAAGTTTCAAAGGCTGCGTGTCAGAGGGTGGCTGGGTACTGA